GGTTCTGATTCAGAACGCAATCACAGGCGTTTGACTTTGAAATATAAACATCAAACACGAGTATTCCATGTCAGGCTTGAAGGAAGTGGTGGGTGGTAACAAAGAGGTGCAATAAACTCGATCTGAGAATTTCACAAGAATTTTCTCTCTGGTTTTTCTGAAGTACTGCAGCACAAGTCCAGAGATGAATGACGACGTCCCCTTGTTCCAGCTCTGGTGCCCCACTACTCCGTTTACTCATCTGAAAATGATTGGATATTTGGGAATTTTAATTTCTTACACATGTAGCGTCTGCAGCTGACTCATTTCAGCCCAATCGTAGATCTTAAATGTGCAAATCTTATCAAAAAATGTAGCCGTCATATGTGTCTTTTCAGTAATTACAACCTCTACCACAGATTCACAGGAACAACAACGTCACGGTTAACAGGAATGCGAAGCTGAAATACAAGCCAGGACGACCGTGACTCTGAAAACAGCAGCAGGCATGTCTGTGTGCTCTAATTACTATTACATGTTTGTACACAGCTGGTTCCTCTATAAGAGAATTCCCTGTGTCACCGTGTCAGCACATCAACCTACACAGATGTATTTACTGCAGAAAACATATGTTAACACCTACTTACTTAATTTCCGATTCCAGCTCGAGACACTGTCACATGAAGGCTGTGCAGACATTTGTTTCCTGACATATTTCTAATTTCAGAGGTTATCTGTTCTCGACATTTTCCGGTGAGACGTGAAACCCCTTTACCGACCCGGCTTAATGTTTCTACAGATGTTACTGCTGTTTATCATCGGCTTGTGCTCACAGTTCATTCATTCTTGCACTAAAATCACGTTTCTTTCCCTTGATTAAACTGATAAGGCACAAACAGAAGGCCTTGTATTTAATGCTGCAGCAGCAGAACAGGAGTGTTTCTTCAAAGCAATCTCTTTGAAATTAAAAGCATGGGGGTGGGGGGTTGCTACAGATGTGGAAGGTGGGCTTCTGACTGCACGGACAGCTGTGAGGGACGGAGGTCTCTCAGAGCAGGAAATGGCTTGACCTCCCCTGTGGGAGACTGGCCCGCCCTGACAACAACCCCCACAGCTCTGAGCATCCTTGGTCGCCCCGAGCGGGCTGCAGAGTGGCAAAATGAAAGGTTGTGCATGGTCACATCTATGAAACGAAATAGAAAAAAACACACACAAAAATGCCTGTAGTAAGGCCTTTAAAAGGGACTAAAGGTTCCAAAATCTGGACGGGTCAGCCGGCGTCATCTCAGACAGAAATAAGGAAACATATTGAAATACAGTCTCAGATTTAGTCCCGCCTTCATAAATGTGTTAACTGATGCCAAAAACTGAAACCTCCTTCACTGTTACAATACTTCCTGTGAATGTACAGTAAAATACTGTCAGCCGTGGTTTCCAGAGAAAAGTTAGTAATGATCATTTCAGCTGCCCAAATCAAGTTTCTCCTCTAAACAGTGCTTTCTGAACTGTTCAGGTCACACTGTCGATTTTTACAGTAACCTGCTGTTAACAGCTCATCTCAGTATTTTACAGTATTTACTCCTATTTTGGAAAAACGGTGCAGCACTGCTAAAATATGTTTTTACAGTAATTTACTACAGTGAAGAGCAAAGTTAAAGAGTTTTCGCTGGTCTTGTTGTTGCCATGGTGCGATTCAATAAATGGTCACTTATATAGCGCTTCTATCCAAAGCGCTTTACAATGTGTTTCTCATTCACCCATTCACACACACGTTCATACACTCATGGGGACAGAGCTGCCATGCAAACTGCTGCCTGCCATTGGGAGCAACTTCGGGTTCAGTGTCTTGCCCAAGGACACTTCGACTGTGGAGAGGCAGGGGATCGAACTGCCAACATTGTGACTGGACGACAACCCGCTCTACCACCTGAGCCACAACCGCCCTTTATTGTGACGTTGGTTGAATTATCATCAGTTTTCATGTTCTGTCTTAATTTCAATCGTATGTACAGTATGGGAACATTAACGCAAAGTAAACCTCATTTGTTGTCCAAGTTCAACATGAACACAACAGGAAGCAACTTGCAACTTTGCACATATAATGACAATACATGGACACTGGAATATTTTGCTTTTCCCCCCATTTTCAATTAAAGATGTATCTTTTATAAATGTTAGAGGTCTTAAAAGTTGGTGAAATGTCAACTGAAGACTATATCTTTAGTAGGAAATATAGATACATCAATATAAATACACTTAGACCATTTTCTGGACCCCCAACACCACCCAGTTTTACATTTTGTCCTATTTTCAAGTGCCATTAGTTTAAAATTTGGCTTCTCCTGGAGCCATTTGACCATTTGGATTGACTGGAGATGTTGTTTTCAGTGTCCTCAGCTATATTTCTAGAAATATTGAACCGTTGTAATGGCTTCATAGGTAAGATGTTTGAAATCTAAAATTCTCAGGTCTGAAAACATGAAAAATTTAGCCAAAATATTTTATGGAGCTTAGCTTTGAGACCCTAAAAAGGCAACACTCCTTTTTGAAATGGCACAGACGGACCCAGATGTGAGCTGTACCATGACTTTGTACTCCAGGACAAAACCTGACATTTCTTCAGTGCAGTGTGACAGCAGTTTTCCCGTCTTTGTCACACGGAAATCACATGTGCTTTAAATCACTTCATTGCACAACACGAGGCCGATCAAGCAGCCTGAAAAACGTATGAGTATTCTTTTGAGCAAACATATTACGCTGGTGGGAGAAGGACAGTCAGACAATGCAGGCACATTACAGGTGGTGTATTTATTTAGTGGGTTCATGATTTACCAATGGATGTAGTGGTATAAGGCACGCCTTAATCCATATATGACCCTGTATGGGTTTTATTGGAGGATTGCAACAGTGGAGCAGTAGGGAAAAAAGAAAAAGAAGGAAGGGAGGTCACTGTGTCAACAGACGTCTCTGTTACACTTTTATGAGGTGATTTTATCCAGCACTTTATTTAATGTGTCTTTTTGCCGGAGGATTTATTTGTGTTGTTACCACAGTAGAAAGATCACTTGGCAGTCGGAGGGAAACACTGTAGGCTCAGTGTGGTTTGGACTCTGTGGTTCAAAAACAAGCCTCGCTACGCTGTTATTTTCTGGTAAATGGCCTCCTGTATTGTCCTTCCGCCTCCCTCTCGACGTGGGTGAACACAAATACAGACAGTTTGTGACATGCAGCCCTCAAAACATCCACTGCCAGTCCTGAACTCTTTATCAGTCCGATATTGAACTCATGTCAAAATCCGCCCACACGCTCTCTGACTCCCACACAGGTCAGACCAAAATTGTTTACTGCTTTACGAAACACACTTCCACATAAGCTCATTACGCAAGACATATAAAATGATTCTAATTTCAGATCCTGGAGGTCTCATTGTGTTTTTGCTTTTGCTTTTTCTGAAATGCAAGAGTGGAAAGATTATTGGTAAAAAAGCGGAAGTGTGACTTTTGGATTTATGGACAGTAGGAAATATTCATTCAGTCATTCATTCAACCTTTTTTTAAACTTGAGGTAGAGAGGACTCATCTAGAATGTGAAAGATGTAGACTCATAAATGTGAGACTATAAAGATGTCAGTAAGTCAGTGAAATGATAAATTATCTCTGCAACTTGGAACCTTGCAAATATAATAACAATACATTGACCCTTATGGCACCAGTTTTTGTTGTGCACATCTCAAGTTTTTTATGTCAAAATAGCAAAATAAAAAAATATATATAAAAAGCTGGAACCTTGTTTTGCCAGACTTGCCACACATCAAATTCCACTGACATTAGAGGCCTTAAAGTTGGTGCAATGTCAACCAAAGGCTGTATTTTTAGTAGAAAATATGGATGCATGCATATAAAATCAACAAAATCATCATTAATTCTCTGGTGACCGCTTTAGAAATGAAAACCCTGGATGTAAGTAAAAGAAAATACACTCTATAGTATGAAAACCGATTGTTTTTAATGTTGCATTGAGCTCATTAAAAAGATTTCACATCCTGTTGTGTAGTTTAATCAGTAACGACGCGTCATCTTTTATCATGTTTTTGTGTGGAAAGCATGATAGTAAAGTGGATTAAAAGATAGTCCTTTAAAATATCTGTAGTACAATTAAACTGTAAACTGCTGAAAGTAAAAAGAAGACAGAAAATAAAGAATTAATTTGTGATTGATGACATATTGTTTATTAATGATGCTGTTTTATGCTTTGGGGGCATTTTGACTTGAAAATCATCATTTTTTTTTCTCTGATAACTGCTTTAGAAATAAAAGTCCTGGATGTATGTAAAAGAAAAATACTCCATAGTATGAAAACTTTTATTATTTATTGTTTATTTTATTAGAGCTTATTAAAAAGATTTCACAGTTTTACATCTTTATAAGTGGTTTAATCAGGAACAAGTCATGTTTCTGAGTGGAAAATAAAACTCTGTAAAGTAGATTAAACATATTTTTTAAATTGTGGGTCTAAAGAAACCCAGAGAATGAAAGCAGTAATGTGTGATTGATGACATATTATTAATTAATGATGCTGTTTTATGCTTTGGGGGCATTTTGACCTGAAAATCATCATTTTTTTCTCTGATAACTGCTTTAGAAATAGAGAAAAATACTCTGTAATAAGAAAACTTTTATTGTTGGATGTATTGAGCAGCTCCTTTTATGTCAGAGCTTATTAAAACACAGATTTACATCCTGTTGAGCCATTTAATCAGGAACAAGTCATGCTCCTGAAACAAAACTCTGTAAAGTGGATTAAAGTATAGTAAACCAAGTGGGCTGTAATTAAATCACGGGGCTGAAGAAACCCAGAGAATGAAGGCAGTAATGTGTGATTGATGACTGATTGTTTCCTAACGGGGCTGCTGTGTGTTTTCTGGGGATTTTTCCCCTTTAAGGCGGCTCTGGGTGGAGTTTCACCAACGTGCTGAGGATCTTTTATAAGGAGATGTGGAACAGCGCGTCACTCTGACACCATGAGCCTGGCCTCCCGGTGTTGTTGACACAGAGGATGTTGCACATGTTCAGCTCTGACTGCTTCAGATACAACCCACACTGATTCTGATCGCATCGGAACCGAACTTTGGGCTTTACGCGCTGGTGAGTCTCCTCTAGTTGATTGGACTAGTTGGGTGTTGAACTCTATTTACCATCAGATGGAGCAGTGTTGTGTTTTCTGTGATGGAAATGATGTCAATGTAAAACTCGTCCTGTTGAACAGATTTTGAAAACCACAGATAGTTTTTTTTTCTTATTGAAAAATAGTTAAAAGAAGGTAAAAGATGGTTAAAAGAAGAAAAAAAATCGCTTTGGTCGTTTCTTTTTGGGGGATAAAAGAGTTTTTTAGTGTACCGGAGTGTGGATCGGTTCGGTAGTTTGAGGGCAGCGGGACTCACCGCCCTCCGGACCCGCTGCAGGGTCTCCGTGTTCCGGCCGAGAGGAGCCGAGTCGAGGCGGGATGGTGACGGTTGGACCGGTGTTGCTCCGTCCGCCGGCGGCCGCTAGTGGGCGCTGAAGAGCGGGTCAGCCCCATATATGAAATGAAATGAAAAATACTTTATTCATCCCAGAAGGGAAATTCAATTTAATTTATTATTACAAATTTAATTAAATTTAAATTCAATTTACAATATAGTCAGCCTTATAGAAAATACCTGACATTAGTTCTTCTTTATTTGACTACTTTCTCTGTATGTTTGAAGTAAAATAGAAATGGATTTGCTAAAATATAATAAAACTTTAATGTCTAAGGTGAAATAACATTCAAAACTAAAAGCATCTTTAAATCAACATGAACATTTCCGCCCAAAGAAGACTCAGGACTCAAGGATTCCATATTCACATGTTGTGGTACCAAATAAGTACTCAGGTTTTAAAGAAAAAGCTTAATAGATAATAAATACAGTAAACAATAAAAACAAAAGCAGAATATAAGTAGAAATAAAACATATGTGTAGCAGCGAGGTCGATTGTAATAAAACACATTCTCAAGTTTATTATAATTAACAAAAATGTTTAATTATTGTTGAATAGATCAAACTGTACCCTAATGAGGATTAAGCGGTGTGTAGATAATGGATAGATGGATGGAAATTAGACTGTTTAATACTGGAAATATATTTAGAAAATTGAATACAAATGACCGTGAGCAGAAAAAAAGGGGAATTGACTGGGTAATTTTACTCAGATTTGGTAATAAAATTAGAGATATCTTGTATAACATCAGAAGTTCTCCAAACAAGAATGTTGAAGGAATGTGTTTTTGTCGGTATATAATATCTATAAGTACAAGTAATCGGTCAAAACTAATCTATCTATCAGGGTGTAATGTATAATAACAAATAGGTAATTTATTTTTTTTTTTTAATACACATGTGTCATGACTGAGACAAGTGTATATTTACAGCCTTGTATTACGGACCCGTTTCCTCCTCAATCTAAATTAGAAATCAAATTGCATGAACTCAAAAAAATGTTGATTATTTTCGTCAGTATGCAGCTTTAAAATCGCATCGATGCTTTACTAGTGTGTTGCCTACCCATAGCATTCAGGACTGTTTTAAAAAATTCACTGAAGTTGTTTTAAATTAAATCTTTTAACAGACGATTACATTTGAAAGCTGCTGGAGGAATTTATTAACAAAAAACCTTTCATGATAGCAGAATATTTTCCCTAATTTTTTCTTTTTTTTTCCCACCCATTACATAGGAGTAGCCAATGTAATATCACCAAAGTAATAATAATACAAATTTGTGAATGTCTGATGTTGTTCTATAAATTAAAGCCTAACTGTGTCAAATCGACAGTCTACAGCTGACAGTCACAGGTGGCCTTCCCAAATGACGTCCAAACTGCTATGATCAAATAAGAATGAGCTCAACAGTTTTTTTTTTCATGTGCGGACACGTACTGAATCAGCTTCAATTGACAAATGTAGGTCGTATTAATCTAAACAGCATTAGATGACAAGCTAAACAACAGTATATCTCATGAAGGAAACGATCACCAGATTAGTGATTCACATTTGTGTTTCCCACAGTCAGGATTTAGGTCAAGATTCAATGATTTGATTTGGAACACGATTGTTCAGAAGTCTGTGCATTTAGATGTAGTGTGGCAAGTGTTGAGGCTGCACTGTGAAGGCTAGTGGGCAGTAAAGAACAATAATTCAACTAGAATCAGAAAAATAAAATGTACGAATAATTAAATATATGTTACATAAACCCTGCCAGCACTACATTTATTAGAGGAACAACATTTTGGACCTAGCTATGCACCGTTTTTATGTCACTGTTGTATAGCTATAAAAACATAAAGAGCAAAATTCTTTACACACTCACAATAATGACTAGAATTAGTCAAAGGTTTTTTCTGCACCATAAACTGCCACAGTGTTGGGTCATGGGCAACCGTGGGCACTTTTATTCCACTGTTGCATGCAATGCGTTTTTATTATCAGGTTAAAATTCATGGTTGGTTGAACTACCTGTGATGCTGCTCGCTAGATTTACAGCACGGGCTTCACACATGAGTAGATCCCGACCGATGTATCAGTTGGCCGATATTACGAGCCGATACTGGCATGTCACAGATGTGTCAGTATCGGCAGGTATGTTGTCCCATATATACGGATATGGAAGCTTTCTTTTCCAGAGCATAATACAGAAAAAGATTATTACTCCATTACAACATCAGCTCTGTCTGCAGCACATGTAGCAGAGTACAGTGGTGCAGAGTCCAGATTTGTGGTATTCATGGTAGCTAGTTTGTGAATTACATTGCTGGAAAGTTACTAAACAAAGCCCTCATCATTTCCATTTTTCACTGTACCTTTAACTAATGTATAAACAATCTCAGGTGATGCCTCAATATCAGAATTTTCTCTAAAATCAGTATTGACCTTAAAATCTAGTAAGTTGAGGCTGTAATATAGAACATACAGTACAATAAGTGTACAACAGGCCTGGCTTATTTGTAGACTATAGCACTTTTGCATACGTTTTCCTTTAATAAAACACACTAACACTGTTTATTTAGGTTTAATTGGTCAATATGCTTCCATTTACCTTCTGTTGAGAGGTGGTTTTGCACAGGAGTCACAGTCTCATTCACTGTTTAATGTAGTGGTACACTGTATGTGCATAAAATCAGTATCAGCCCCATAAATCCAGTGTTGTTTGGGCTGTAATGTAGAGGATACATTAGTGAGTTTTTAAAAGGTCTAAAGTTGTCAGTTTAGGTTTCCATTTATGCTCCAGTCCTGCTGTTGAAAGCTGTTTTTGCATGTTAGTCACATACTCATCGATTGTACACGATGGTGATCTATACAGTCTCTAAGTATGTATGTAAGATTTCCTCACATCCTGCTAAGCCGTGAGAAGTTCTTGGTGCAAGTGTGAAGCACAGCCACCACCTAATTAACTCATCTGCAAAGGTCCGGTCAGTGAATGGCCTGTTGCTGGGACTGCCAAGGACAACACATCAAGGCTCCTGCATGAGCTAAACAAACTGTTTTCTCCTGCTCCGGCTTGTCCTTCCAACAACACTCAGTCCTCCTGCAGGGGATGTTCGACACAGGCTCATACCTCGGCCACGCCGGCTCGTCTCCATGGCGTATCTCTGGTCCTAACCTCATGGGAGAGTTCAGTTGTATTTTCGGGCTTTGCTTCGCTGTGGACCAAAGTGACACAAAGGCCCATTCATGGCCGAGAGTGGTTCCATTCATGCACACTGAGTAATTGCCGGTAGAATTCATAATTGTTCAGCGTCTTCCATCTCCGAGGCTCACGGGTGGAAATGACGCCACAGACGGTTGTTTTAAGGATGGCATTAATATTCAAATAGACGCGTGAGTCACTGTTTTGTTTGTAGTGGGTTTTTCTTTGCATGCTCTGCATTGTTTGCCTCCTACTTCAATTGTTGACAGATCAGTGGCATGAAACAAAGCAGGACTTTGAAGAATAAGATCGCAGTGTGATAGTAAAAATGGGCCCTCGCGTTGTCCTCCAGGCGTGTGTGTTTAATTTAGTGCTTACATTTGAATATGAAATAGCCCTTTTTGCTGTGGTTTGCAAGATCAGGAGGTGTTCAAGTAGGTTTGTATTGTATTGTTTCCAAAGCTAGAGAAAGCAAATTTTGTTCTGTTTTCTCATTAGAATTGGAATCAGTTTCATTGCAGGGAATTTAACTTGGTGTTTTGATGCATTACAGTAAACACTAACAGGTTGACAAAGGGTTAGCGAGATTTATTAGTTGTTGCAAGTAAGTGGACAGAAGCAAATCCTATGAATTATAAAAGTAATAAAATGCAATAGAAACATTTCCAGTGTGCTGAATTGTGAAAATTCTTTGCCTGACTATGCACAAGATTACATAATACGTAGCATAAGCAACTTGATTTATGCAAAAAAGATGATATTTATCCAATTAAAAAGCTGTGTGTTAATGCAATGCAATGTATAGAGTCTTTGTCTATAATGACGGAGTCGAAGCTGCAGACAGCTGAGCAGCATCCACACTGGAAGCCGTTGAAGTTAATCTGCTCTTGGATGCACCACCAGGGTCGAGGCCTGCTGACGTGAGGGCATCACTTAGTTTTAAACCCCTTCAGATGTCACACAAAAGCAGAATGACCTTCACCTGACACAGGAGAGTTCATCTCACTGCAATGGTATCAGTTGGTACAGATATTAGAAGGGTGAGCATCTGGAGTCTGTTCCTTTAGATGCCCTTCTTTAACTCCCTGTTTGGTATTTAAACTAGATGTGTAGCTTTATCTGACTGTACAAAACTCACTTTGCAGATGTCTTCACCAATAACTCAGCTTTTTTTTTTTGGTCACAAGCTGCTTAAGACTGTCCCGTTAAAACATTTTGACACTGAGGCATTTCCGTTTCAGTTTCTGTGTGACGTATTTAAATGTACTGTCTTGCTCAACTGGTACACTAATAGGCAGAACTAGATTAGGACCCGCAGCCTTATCAGAATCAAATGGAATATTCCTTTAAGTGTGTGTGCTCAAGCGCGGTGCTTTGTGGCGGTGCAGTGTGTCATTCAGCATCACAGGAATGCTGCACAATTAGCCCCTGTTGTGAGGGCGGATACTGCAGGGTTTCATGGTCACAGGGAGGAAGGAGGGTGAGGAGTGCTGTCGCCCTCCCACATCTGACCCAGAGGTTGCGCAACAGCCGTCTCATCAGACAGATGGCTTTAAAGTGGAACCACAAAGAGATACATATGGCCGGAGCAGACTGGAGGCATTTACTGGGCTTTTGTTGTGACGGGTGTTTCCTGAAGGAACAATGCAGCGTAACACAAATGTGTTTTGCAGTTTCTAGTAAAAACTGGAACAAGTTCAAAATGTGTAAGTCTGTCATACGTGACTCTCATGAGGGGATTTTCATTCGTTTAGTTTGGGCTTTTTAGCAAGGCGCCATGAGTAGAATATAGGTAGGTGGGGAATTTTAAGGGTTTCATTGTATTTATGTCTTTACACGACTCTTTAAAAGTATATTTGCAGTCTAATACTATGAATGAAACTTACATTAAAGTTAGAAAAGTGACACCACTGTAGTAAACTCAGTTGTGAACTTTGTGATTCCAGTACACCCTAAACCATCCCGTTTAGCACACTGAGCTGAGTGCACATTTTTTACAATCACGTGCATTTATATAAACATGTATTTATATGAATGTTTTCACCTGTAGGTAATTCATGCAGCATGTTTGTGTGCTTTTCTTTCCGTGCTTCTCGTATTTCTTCTATATTGTTGGCTGACCTTTGACCTTCCTCTCAGGATTAGAACATGCAGCTGTGCGTGCTGGATGTTTCTCCCCCCCCCACATGTATGTCATTTATATGCCTCGTTTATGAGCTTTTCAGGCTGACAGAGGTGTGACCTGCGCAAATGAACCGAGTGATGTAATGCAAAAGCCAGATGTGAGAGACAATATGTGTGTTTTGGTCACGTCTTAAGTTTAATTCCAACGCGGCAGCTCCTAACAAGATGCAAATGTTCAAGAGTGAATCTCCTAACGCTCAGTTTTTCTGTGTCCCTCCAACAGCTCACCGCTGGCTAGAATGACGCTGTGATGGGTTTGATGGAGCTGACTTGTGTTGGAGGTTTGGGTCGACACCAAACACACCTTCAGGATTTATAAAAAAAAATGAAAATTCTGCCACAACATGGCCGGGAGTCAGAATAACTACTGGGGACAGCATGAGCTGAACAGGTAGGAAAACACAGCTCTTAATGACTCTAACTGACTTTAATATAGGTGTTATTATTATACACAGTGTGACAATATAATTTTGACACAGAACAAATGGATTTTTAGGATTTTTGTGTGAGTCAACAAATAAAAACCGTCTGCACCCAATAATGTGTCTGTTATAAAAGATGAACACCTGCACTTGCTTAAAGGGCATCTTAGTTAATCCTCTAATTGATTCCATGTGAATTTTAATGCTAATTTTCTTTAAATAACACCAGAATCCCAAAAGGGAACCAAGCACACATGAAGATCATGATCTAGAAAAAAACACATCCAGTATCTTGTAATGCCGTTACATAATGTAAAAGCAGAACAGAACATATATTCTGGTAAAGCGCTTGTCGTGCTTGTTTTTTCACATATAATGACTGACTTATGACAAGGTTATGCGCAGGAATGATTTACACACGTGTTCGGCTCTCTATGGATTTCTCAACGTCTCTCTCTCTTGTTTTGCAGAGTGTGCTTCGGTCTGGGCGCTGACATGGATCACAACCTGAAGGAGCTTCAACAGCAGCAGATGGCCAAGGAATTTAACTGTGAGTATAGATTTTTTTTTTACATTATATAAGTTGTTCTGCAGAAGAAAGCTACGTATTAAATACCGTTTCCATTTAGCTCCATTGGAATCAGTTTGAATGTGTATGATACTTGTTGAATGATTTGTGAATTGGGTAGAATTTAAGCTCATATTTCTAAGGAACATGATTAATATTTATCTGTAATCATTTTTTGACCCTTTCTTTTCGTTTGTTGTAAAACGCTCGACAACTTGTATAAATGATCATGCCTTCTGTTCATGTTGATTTTGTTTAAATGGCATCAGAACTACAAAAATGGAGCCAAACACACATGAAGAACATGCCGCTACATAATACAGAAGGAGAACACTTATTCTGTTAAAGCATGCTTGTTTGAATTTCATTCATCATTTCATCATTGTTTTTTTTTTTTAATCTGTAATCACAGCTTATTGCAGAAACGCTCACTTTTTTTTTTCATTTGTTGTGAAACAACTTGCAGCAATAAATCCCTGATTCTCTTTCTGTTAAGAAGAATTAATATTCCTCGGTTTCTTATGGCAAAAGCCTACTTTAAACCCCATATCGCGTAGACAGTGTGTAGGTGAGTTTGCCGTCACAGAACAGAGTTGTGTATCAGAAAAGAGAGAGCGGGGTGAACCAGGAGGGGAAGCTATCGCTCCCCGGTCACCAGCTGTTCCTGCAGTCTGGGGCACGTCGGATGTTTCCACGGGGAAGGTTATGGGAAGCTCAGTTAAGATTATGTTCCTTCCCTGCAGATAATGATGATTCCTGTGTTAATCAGGGTGTTGTGGCTGATGTTTGACGAAGAAGGTGATAGGTTAAGCGGTTGTTTTCCACATGTTTTCACTCCTGTTTCCTGTGCTGTATCTTCAGTAGGTCAGGAGTTTTTGTTATAAGGAGATTGGGCAGCCTACTCGCGCTGGTATTTTTCCCTCCTACATCACACTCTAGTTGAGTTTTTTTTGTTTTTTTTATCATTGCAAGTTGTTTTCCATGTTTCTTCCTCTGAGATTTGTCTCTGCACTGAAGGAAACAACAGTGATAGCAAAACCTTACACAACAAAGAAGTGACTTGTTCGTGTAAAGAGGACTTTCGGATGTTCTGTTTTAATCCGTGATTCTTTTTTCTCTTCCCCAGCCAACCTCTCTCTCTTCCTAACTTCTGATAACTTACTGCTGCACCAAGAAGGAGACCAGGTGGTCCCTTCCTCCCAGAGACGAGCGGCGTTCGGGGGCCGCCACAGAGAGGCCAAACCCCTGCCGCCGCTGCCCGACCCCGAGGAGCTCATGTCAGATGAAGCGGCCGACAGTGAAGTTGAGTTCTTCACCAGTGACCGACGACGGCTTCTGCCCAAAAGCTGCCCCAAGCCAGTGTGCAGGGGCAGCAGCAGCAGCAGCAGCAGAGACTGTGGACAAGTGAATTATGCCTACCAAGAGAGTTCATTGCGTGCTGTTGGAGCCGGGACGGGCTCCATAGCTTTCTCTTGGCCGAGCAGAGAGGAGGCAGGTAGAAGAGGCCGAGCAAACAACTGGCCATTCGACAACCAGCATGTGGTGTCAGCAGATCCTTTTGGGAACAAACCGGACCAACACCAAACATCCAGAAACAGATTTTCCTGCTCAGACGCCTTCCCCACTGACAAGCCACAGATCCCCCCTCGCATCCCCATCCCTCCCAAACCCGCCGCTCTCTCGAAGACTGCCATCGAGGACGACAAGCCTCCCAAAATCCCCCCGAGGGTCCCTTTGGTCCCGCCCTGCCCGCCGCGCACCCCGAGCCCCAAATGTCTTCCCATCTACATCAACGGAGTGATGCCCGCCACACAGAGTTTCGCTGCTAACCCAGAATATGTGAGTAAGGCCTTGCTGAGACAGCAGAGCGAAAGGGCGCCACCTGCCACTCAGTTCTCCCCCTGCATTGTTCCCATTTTGAAGGACGGCAGACAGGCCAGCGCCACCCACTACATCCTCCTGCCGCCGGGCCGACCGGCTCACACCGAGAGACGCGAGAGACTAATGAGTGAACCGCTCAAGACGGGACACGGCAGCGCCTGGCAGAAAAGATAGAAACCCTCGGCTCGTCTGAAAAGTACAAAATTGTGACTTACACCACTAATAACCACGTGGTAGCCTTTTGTACAGAATGTGTGAAAAAAAATAACTCACGTGTTTAATGTCATATTGTTGTTATTTGCAATGACTGATATTTTGTGTTTGTCACACAGCTGCACTGTGAGGTGTTGTTTTTTTTTTTTCTTTTTTTTGCTTGACCTTTTTACCGGTCAGTATTTTAGACTTCAACCCAGAACACATCACAGTAATACAGTATTTTCACTAATAGTGGAGAAATATTTACCTCCTATAACTACTTTTTAAGTTTGGTTCACTGCAAACGTTTTTTTTCACAGGAAAGTTTTATCATCACTAGTTTGTAAGTCTGACAGCCGGATGCTCACAACACTACAACCAGCCTGAGCTAATATTATAAGAGGACAAATAACTACAAAGGTACAAGCTGGGCTTATACCAAACTGTTCATTCCACGTGTGTTATTTTTATGACAATGCTGCTTGAAAAGTATAATGTATTGATGGATTTAATGTTTTCTCACAGTTTGATTTGAAAATGAAGAATATGACCAATTTTAAAATAGCACATCACAACCAAAACGTCCTACAGTGACGCCAAACTCTTCACCTGATAAAGCTCATGTTTTAGAAAGGTTATGAGAATAAGGTGAAAGTGCATTTGGATTTTTTTTAAATTTCACTTTATCGAACTACATTTTACCTGCAAAACATCTTCTGTTTTCATTTTAAGCATTCGTTTTTTTATTCCTTTTATTTAAAGGTACGTCGTCGAAAAGGATGAAAATCTGAAACCGACTAAAACCTGCCCTCGGGTCTTTTATTAAGATGTATGAAGAACAAGTCAAAGGTTTTACATTGATTGACTGATCGGCAGCAGTAATTGAGGCCTTTTAAATTCAAATGAGAACTTTTAATCGTAATTGAAGATAATTGTAATCATGGTGTGAATTCTGCTCGAATGCCGTGTGCGTGTGGTCAAACGGAGTGCCGATTGGACCTTTCCTTTCTTTGAGCGTGTGGACATCATGTTACGTTTACACTGTTGAGGTGCGGGCCCACTTTTACGACTTTTGTTACATCCACCTGTTGGAAGTTCTCATGAAGGTTCTGTATCGAATTTGGCCCGTTTGCGTTTTGTCATGTTGTGTCGGAAAGAAATCATAGCAAAATTGTTTTTAATCTATTTATAGAAATAAATAACTTATTCATTCTATGATGGAGTTGTTGTCCTTTTTCTACATTTTTTTTTTTTTTAAGTTGACCTCATTCAAGGGCGGTTGCGGCTCAGGTGGTAGAGCGGGATGTCCTCCAATCGCAAGGTTGGCAGTTCAATCCCCAGCCCCTCCACAGTCGAAGTGTCCTTGAGCAAGACACTGAACCCAAAGTTGCTCCCAATGGCAGGCAGCACCTTGCATGGCAGCTGTGTCGCCATTGGTGTATGAATGTGTGTGAGAATAGGTGAATGAGAAACATTGTAAAGCGCTTTGGATAAAAGCACTGTATATGTGACCATTTACCGTTTATTGAATCGCATCATGGCAACAACAAGACGAGTGAAAGCACTTAATGATGTGTTTACCATTTGTTGGTAATTATGAGTAAACAGACACCAAAGTCCTGCTCCTATATTGAATAATGTTTACTTGGGAAAGAAGCAGAAACACTGGAGTTGTGAGAGAACTTTTAATGGAGCATCAACAGTAGCCGATGGCGGATCAAAACTGCTCACGAACATATGAGCTGCAGGATGACTGGTGCACATAAAATGAAGGCTACTGTTGGTCAATTTCCTTGTTCAAGCGTATGATGGAGGAAACGGTGCGACAGTGCCTTCAGTGGGAGAGTCTTCAGAAAAGCCCATTTCTTGTCCATGCTACAACATCACCTCACGTTTCGTATTCACAGTTCGTTTGCCATCGAATCAAAATGGCATTATAGTATCAGTGAGTGATTCAGCAGGCTCAAAACACAAACCATTCAACTGTGGTATTGAACCATATCATGCTCGCATATATCGATTTCTATTCTCTGATTTCCACACTTATTATCACTTACCATTAGATCAGTCTGATGATGCAGAAATGTCTCAAAAGTAATCTTGGGAAAACTTACATGACTTAAGATCCTAACTTTCACGTGTATAGGAATTTTTAAACTCCACAGTTCCATAAATTCGAGTTCGTTTCATTCATTTGTAATTAGTTATGTGTTAAACATTTAATCAAAATGACGTGGCACAAAAGAACAGTTATTCAACTAGGAAATTATTTCTTGTTTTTGCAAAATAAGTTAAAAAACACATTAAAACCTTGACTAACCCCTGCTTTCACCCCCTCCCCGCTGTCCCCTCACCCCAGCAGTTCCTTATGGGCCTTATTGAACTTTGACCTGTGTTCTTCTACAGGCTCGGCCTCAGCGGTCTCATCTCCTCGGGCTGAGGTCCTTCGTGCAGCCGCGGGGCTGTCAGATACGGGATTCTGACGATCGGTTTACCGCCAGGCCCGGTTGAGCAGTTTGACTTCTGCCAGGCGTTTGCTGATCATGGTGGCAAAGAAAAGGGCAAAAAGTACGCTACTGATCAGCATGTAGTCATAGTCGTCTTTGAGCACGTCGAACTGCTTCGAGGGATACACGCGCGTCTGGTAGATGTCGAGACCATATGCCACCACCTATAAACAGACAAAAAGCATAGCATTGTCATATTTAGGTTTAATTTAACGAAAAGGCTGTATGAGCATCTGCTTTGATGTGTTTATCCACATTTGAGCTATAGTTCTTAGACTTTCTTTTTAGAGCTTTACTCTGCATTGTGTCAAAATAAATCTCTGCTCTGGTTGTTCAAAACTAACAGACAAATATATTTTCTTCATTAGAATTACTTCATCCTAAACTGCCCCAGAGTTATCCTACATGCCAGAGGTTGTTAGTCCTAGGATTTGTGCTTTATAAATAAAGGTGACTTGCCCTCAAAAGGAAAACAGAGGTTTAGAAACCCTGGATCTTTAAGGTCCCATATGGTGAAAATCCATTTTCATTGTGTTTCTATGTTCTACAAAGTTGGAGGTAAGAAATAAAATCTGACTATTATTTCTCACCTCCTTTAAAAGCACCTTTAAAAGCAACACGTCACATGGAAAGCCTCTACAAGCCAGTTTTAAGAGCCTGTTGGATTTATTCACTCACTAGATCCAGTTCCTCTAACTTTAAAATGCCTTAGCCAAGAGCAAAGCACAACAAATGCTCTGTTGTTGGTCAATTGATTACTAGAACATTAATGCACTCAAAGCAACCGAGAAACTGAAGATCCAGTGGATGACTCTAAATGTTTTTTTCAAAGTTCTTATTTTTTTTTTTTTACCTTTTTGCCTTTATTAGATAGGACAGTCGAAAGAGAAACAGGAAAGCTGGGGAGGAGAATGGGGGAAGGGGTTGCAGCAAAGGGCCACAAGCAGGATTCAAACCCATGGCCGCTACATCGGAGACTGTAGCCCCTGTACATGGGTCGCCAGCTCAACCAGTTGAGTTAAAGCGGCGTCCCACGATGACTCTGATTTTTGATGGCAATGTCACCACAACAGAAGGAAAACTATAGCTTTGATTGTGTGCCCACAGGTCAGAGCTCTGTGGAAAACGTAACACTGAGGGCCAACTAGAAATAGTGTAAATTGAAACCAGTAAGAAAAAAATAAATAAATAAAGGAGTGGGTGAGTGTTTAAATGTCGCCTGTTGTGCTTCAGTACAACCTAAATTCAGTGTTTACATCGGTCGCTTCTCTCCTGCTCCCTGTGCTCACATAAACTATATACTAAACTGTTACATATTTTTCTTTTTCTCTCTCACGAATGTGCTATAAAGTGGCACAACATGGGATCTTTAATATCAACAAAATGTGATTAAGACTTCAGATGTGGTGACAAAGAAAATGATTGATATGCCTCTTCATAAATTACAATTTTCTGTCATAACAGTTACTAATGAGATAATTATCTTCTAAAGTAAGAAATGCCAACCCTGTAATCAACACATTTGTGCGAGTGATGGTTGACTCACCAGGCAGGTTGATTCCAGTCCAGAGGGAGCAGTGTAAATTCCTCGTACTCTTGATACAGTCTGATTGTAGTTGATGAACCACTCAGTACGGATCAGCAGCTCTGGTGCGTACGGTATCAAGTTCTCTTCACTGAAAATCAGATCAATAGGTCAGATGGGATTAAAAAAAAAAAAAAACCCTAACAAAAACTGTTCAATGTTTACAGAAAGTGTGGCTGCAAGACTTACCGGCTTTGCTCAGATACTATTTCGGGCCTGCGTGGGTCGAGGAACATCTTTGGTAATGACAAAATCCCTCCAGATGGCAAACCAACTGTGACAAAGCAAATCCAAAGAAACATATTATTAAAGGCGCTGGGCCAAAAACACGTTGAAAAGACCTTTTGTTTGTGAAAAAAAAAAAGGTGGGTTATTCCCAAATATAGAGCAATCTATCCCACTGAAACTCACTGAGCAGATGGCGGCTGGTGATGCCCTTCTCAGTCAGGGTGGCCTCCATGGTGGAGATGGAGGAGGGGAAAATGTAAGACTGCTGAAGCACCTGAGGAGCATGTGGCCGATCGAGAGAGCTGAACACGGTGCTGTTGTAGAGCTCCATTCCTTCATATAGTTCAATCACAGAGAACTCATTCCTGCGAGACTTGGTGCTCCAGTACTCATACTGCAGAGTCAGAAAACACAGTAAGAACTGAGATCACATGACAGCATCGCCTGTGTTCCCCTTCATCATTTCTTTAGTGATGTACACATTCGAACTACAACCAAGTAAAAAGCAGCAAAACAGCACATGATTATTGTTATTTATATCCTCAAGAGGGGCTGTAACAATCAATCAGGCTCACCACAACCCAGTTTTCAGAGTGCACAACATGCACCGGGCCTCTGGCTTTCCTCTGAACGGCCTCGTGGATGATGCGACCGGTGACGCCATCAATCAGGAGGATCCCGATGAAGCTGCGCTCCTGATGCAGGTCTGTGCTCTCAGTCACCACAGCCAGGAGATTGGGGTTCAGGTACTATAAAAAAATGAATTTAGCATTATTTAAGGCTGAAAATACATATTTTGTGACTGTAGTGAAATGAACAATTCTCTTATGTCTTACTAACACACCTGAATCTAACATTTTGGCTCATCTTCATCTCCCATCCCAACCATAATTGATAAGGATCATAGGCTATTTGCCAACTATGTCAGATATAAACTGTTTTTAGTTAAGCAGTCTACATAAGGTCAAAGTAATGACTCCAATAAAAGAGACTCTTTGTTAATATTGAAATCAATTTGACATAGTTTATAGCCACTTAAAATGTATTTGTCATACTTGGAATATACTAACATTCATTCTTTAGGAGATTTTCTTTCTTGATGGAAAACAAGGCTTTCAGCTGCATTTAAACACAGAAGTCTCATTCACTCATGGGTCAAATTAAGCAACCTCAAGCACAAGCTTTAATGTTTAGATGTGAAATGGTGCCCATCTTCATTTTTTAAAAAAGTTTGAATAATTTATTTTAAAACATATCGTACCCTGTGAGTTACACATTAATAAAAGGGGGCTATTTGGCTTTGTCTGAAAAGGACAAAGTCATATTTACAATCTGTGTCATCGAATGTGGCACAAGAAATTATTGTATTAAAAATTATTACAGAGAATAACTGCAAAAAACTTGAACATAGGGCAGTGTCCCCTCAGTCTTTGATTCAGAGGCTTCACAGCTACTGCTGGGCATACCACCAGAAAATTTTTAGGACGTATTCCAATATCCATACCGATACTGAATATCCAGAGTGTGTCAAATGTAGTAGCCAAAAATACCCAGATCTCCTACTACATCTGTTTGGATGCTGCAGTATGCAGGGCAGCATGCTTTTGTGGTCATTCTGACCCACAATCCCCTGCAGTTAGGTCAAATATGTCACAGTGTCTTGTGCGAGTATAAACAAGTTTAAGCCACCACAGCGTACAGACAGATGAAAGCTAATTTCAAGCTGCAGACAGTAACAGATACATGAGAAAGGCGTAATATTATGAGAAAGTGGTACATTCCAGTTGCATGCACACTGCATGAAACGTTGTGTACTTTGTAAAGGCAGCTATAACATGTACTGAAACTAAGAAGGAAAAGTACGCGATTTCCCAAAGAAAGATTTGTGGTTTTTGCAATCTCCTTTATAGTTCCTATCCACTCTCTGGACTGATAGGTGTGTGGGAGTAGAGTGACTAATTTCTAAATGACAACATTTTCTAAGCAACTCAGACAGTAAGGACTGTAAGAGTCCAAGAAGAAAAACTGTTCATTGTTATTTGATGAGAGTGGTTTAGGGGGAATATGAATCACTGGGAAAACAGTGACCAGAGATACAGTATTTCCTGAAAGCATGACTTTTTAGTTTACATCAGAACATGGGGAGTCTGTCTGACTGACTGAAGTGGGGAAAAGGAGCCACAACAGACCAAATCAAAGCAACGACATGTTTGAAACTTTCTCAGCACTTCTTCTAGACCACGGTAAGCTTTTATGGGATGTTACTGTACCTTGTAGAGGACACTACGATCTCCCATTACTCTGCCCTGCGAGTGCACATGCTCATTGGGCCTCTTCCCTTTGACAGAAACGATCTTCTGTATCTCAGCTGGAATGACGACCTCCCAGATCTGCTCAGTTGACAGGTCCTGAGAGCAAAAATCCTTCAGATTAATTATTTCACCCGTGATTCAAGTATCTTTTCATAGTAGTTTAAAGCTTCACTTGCCGTTCTTAGTCTGTAACCAGAAAGTCTTCCCTGACTGGAATCAACCAGATAAAAGAATATGGAGGAGGCCATTTCCTGGAGCTGCTGCAGTACATTCTTTGTAGACGGAAAGGCAGACACCTGGGGAAAAATAAGTAAGATGAATAAAGTGTTTATAAGCCATTGCTGGGTAGCAAATATCTCTTATTAAAATAAAGACTATTACTATTTTTAGAATGTAAAATTATACAGTTGTACTGTTTTACATTGGTGTATGATATGGATGTGGACACAGGAATGACAGGTGTTGACAGAAAGAGCAAAAGCTTTAAGAAACAACATACTAAATCTGGTTAATCTGGTTGAGTTTGCCACAGACCTTGTACTGGTCATCAACGAGAAGCAAGACCTTCGCATAATCCTGGTCCATGAGAGGCAGCATGAGTGACTGAAGTATTGGCTGAGGTAGAGCGGGTGGCGTGACATGACTCTTCTTGCCAAAGATGGGGTTAAATACATGTAGTGTTGCCAGACCTGTGTCCTAAAGACAAAAGAATATGTATAATAAATCGCAAAAATAAACATTAGCAACTTCTAAAGTAAACACGTGCTAAATGTGACATAAAAGTATTCCCAGAGACCCTCACTGTAAGTTGGGCAAAGCAGGAGGCAGCTGGTCTGTTCATTTCACACTCTTTGGTGGTACTTTATTTATGTTTGCTGCCCACATGCAATAAAATTGACATCAGACCTGACACTCTTTATACACAGAGTCTCTATTATACAGTACCTTGTCTTTGATGAGTAGTGTGCACTGCGGTGGATGAGGGAAGTGTGCAGTCGTCCGTTGCACCATTAGTTTGAAAGCTGCATTAGATGGGACGTTGTCCAGGTAGTGCCTCCACAAGATACTGCCGGTCTTACTGTCAATCCCAAAGAGCTGAACAGAAAAAAACAAGAATCTACTGTAGAGGAAAAAGTGAAATGTCTGATGGTGTCTGTTTAATAGTGTTTAATTTCCCTTTAGGCATGACTGATCTTAGACAAAACAAACTAAAAGTAGCACAGCTAAATGAGAGGGTGCGCTTTAGTCTCATACCTTCCCAGATGCGGTAACCATAACCATCATCTTCTGCAAGTTGAACTCATCCCTGGACAAGTTCTCAATGGTGATGTCATTTTTTACTTGACTGCGGGGTTTTCGCGCATCATAGAACAGCTTCCACAGGTGAGCGATCCAGGCCTGCAGCAGGATGAGCTGAGAGGACAGCCTCTTCAACACCATAGACATCAGCCCATCTAGATGGATTACAGCAAGAGAACGCATACTGAGATTCAGTGGGTTGGATTCACATTTTAGGTCTTTGTCAGGTTTGTCACTGATTTAACACAACAGTGGAAGAAATGTAGAATCTAATCTAAACGTGAAATCAAGTGACACTAGGCGATGACTAATAGAAAGGCGCAGAGGATGTTAAAAATGATTTTCAGTACACAACAGGGGACTAATATTCAAAAAAGCAGTTAAGTTTCATTGAGAAGAGCAGAGAAATGTGTTACCTTGAATGGCTGAATCCATATGCAGCAGTAAAAATCAGACAAAAACAAAAAAGTGAAGCTAACAGGAAGCAAGTGAATCAAGGCTGCACACACCCAAGTAATCATTTTTTTTCTTTTAAAACTAGGCATTGGCTCATAGTAATCTAAAAACGGCTTTGCTGATCAAATGCAGGCGCTGATGTACTTAAGGATAAAATACAAATAATAAGCAATAAGACAACGCAGTTAAGTTTCTACAGCGTAAAGGAGAAAACTAAACGATGGAAATAATAGCTAAAATGGACAACACATAAATACTGAGACATCTTCAATATGAAAAAAAGAATTTTGGTTTGACATTTACCAGCCTTTTTGCCAAACTCTCCCTCCAGCTCAGCCTGCGTTCCAGTGAGGGGCAGATCCACCATTTCCATTGTCACCACATCTGACAGGGCCTCCTCTCTTGTCCACATTACACGCCCTGGAAAGCAAGACTCATTATTGTTCTGTAATCATTCATTCACTTTCCACACCCTGTGACAATATGCAGTTTGTGTTGACGCTTTCCATTAATTACGAGATGACAGTTTTTTTTCCCCCCTTCATGCTCATGGAAATGACAAGACTGTGTGTACATTATGAAAACAGAGTCTATTTATGTTCCACACGGTGGTCAGATGTTGGCAGCATGTATGATGAATTAGAGGTGGGATATACCAAAATATTATCATGAGGCTAAGCCTGGCTCACCGGCTTCTTTGTACCTTGGAAACATGCACTGTATCCCAACAGTAAACACAAAGACTGACGGGCGCTTCAGTTACACGACGGTTTAACCCACGGGGGTTCTCTACAACACACCACATGTGGACCCCTCTATAGGAACAACATGCTTTATGAAAAACAAAACAATAAATAAACACAGTGATGTCATTGTGGGATCTTGTTAAACTACATTCCAGACACATTCTAGATAAAAGTCTATTTATTCAGTTTATTTTATAACAATGACACAGATTTTAAGCTGTTCTGACTTTGGCACCCCCAAGTGGTAGAAAGAAAAGACACTCCAGCAATGCAACACTGCAGCTAACATTACAATCAGTGGTGCAGACTTGAGGAGCATTCTTCCCTGGCTTCCTCTTTAGTCATTCCTACCTGGCTGTTGTATGAAAGTGAGTGTGTGGTCTTCTGTCTGCACCATGGCCCTGTAGCCGACAGAGTCATCCTTCTTCAAGAACGGCTGCACAAAGAGCTGAAAGCCAGAATAAAAATGTATTAGATTTTAATTTTATTTTTTTAAAAATATATTTTGGGGGCTTTTTGTCTTTATTTTAGAGCAGTAGAGACAGACAGGAAAGGGGGGGGGAAGAACTATCAGGGAACTATAGCCCCTGTTTATGGTTTGCCTGCTTAACTAGATGAGCAATAGGGACGCCACTAAAAGGCATCGTTAACACCACAACTGATTCTCTACTGCTCTGGAAGTAATGTTAGGCAATAGCTGCATAACCATCCATACAGTCACTGGGCAGAAAAGTAGACTCACCTTCTCTGGTTTCCCACCATTTGGATCCATATTAAAAATCAGTGTGGTGTCTAGAAGTCTGCGTCCAGTGTCAGCACTAAAGAGGTTAACACTACAAGCCTGTCGAGTAGAAATCAATAATTAGCATTCAAAACAGTTTTAAAAGAAAATTACTGTTTAAACTTGAGTTTCAAAAAAATATCTTATGACATTGTTGACATGACTGAACTTGGCAGTAGAGACACCTAAAGCAGCTAAAACGTGCCAGAAATTCGCCAAGTGAGCCCGGTGAGAAAACTTGTTCTAGGAAAACTGAAGGTGTGATTTCACATGAACTCACAGTTTTATTCTTGGGTGACATGACAGCAGCCACAGTCTTCTCTCCAGTGGTTGCAAAGGAAACCAGCAAGGCCTACAAATGTTGTACACAATTTTTGAAAAACAATTTCTTAAATTAGCAGTCATGATATCTCAAAGTTACACATTTTGAAATGACAAAAACAATACATTTTGGAGCTTAAGATAACATCAAATTCTAAAATCTCTGAGGTAGGGGATAAGAGGCTTCTGTCTTAAAGATGCCAAGGCTGTGTTTAACTCTTCCATTGCTGACATTACCCACCCATATGCTTGTGGCAGTCAAGCATTTTATCAAAGGTATCAAACAACATTTGCATTTCAGGCAGATGACTGGCGTTTTCATCTAGAGTGACTTTTCTCAGTAGCAAGTGTTACAAATAAAAAGTGGTCTGGTCTTTGCACATTAAAAGTGCAACACAGAGAAACCATAACATACCGGCTTGAAGTCCCTCATTGTAACTATCTGGCCATCGTTGAGCTGAAGAAGCTGGTAGTGGTCAGGGCCGAGCTGAAGGAAGAACTCTGACAGCGGCTGACGGGCTGGGTTGGGCTGGTGTGACAACAGCACCGGATTAAATCCTGGGTCTACTTCAAGCGCTAGAGACTGGAACAAGACAAATAACACAACAGTATGATAAACGTTTCACAGCATGCACACTGAGAAAAAGAAGAGTGTATAAATAGGGCGGGAAAGCAGAGCACTAACTGAAATACAGCAAAGAACACACATGGTTATTTCATCGAGTAGAAATGTTTTTGTTTTATTTTGCTTGATACCTGCAGGGGAATCTGGGTCATCTGTAACTGTAGGTGGACGTCAAGCATGTAGAAAGACATAGCTGCAGAGTCTACACAAGTCAGCATCCCCTGGCCGACCACTACACAGCTGGCCTGTATGTTGGACAGCCACGGTGCTTCGACCGAGATCTGAAAACAACACAAGGAAAGAACTCAGAAATGTGGAATTTTATTATTATATTGAACCACTGGTTTGTTTTACTTGATGGATTTAAAATATATTCTCTATTTTCTTCACAGCATTTATACATTTTCTGACTTCATAAATCAGGATTACCTGTTTGATTATCTCTCCATCCTCTATACTATAAACAACAATAGCGATGTGGGAATGGGGAACAACTCCCAACACATAAACTTCACCATTTCCATCAGAATATACAGCCTGGTAATCCACGGTTTCACTGTAGAGATAAAAACACAGAAATTATTGAAGTTGTAAAACGTCGATCTTGTTCACAGAGTTAGTCCACAGCAGCATTATGATGACAATGATAGTTTCTACAAAAGCATCAAGCTCGCAAATTATTTAATATCTGGGTGCATTTTTAGCTTACAAAAAAAAAAAAACAGTAATAGAGAAAAATAGCTTTCATTGTTAAACCAATAACATCAAAATCATGGTAACTTACATGTCTGGTAGATTCTCGATCCATTTTTGATGTCCATTAGACAGATAATGGAGCGAGATGGCAGTTTTCTTTAAAACAGCCACGTGTTTTACCATATCTTGCTGTCCAACTAAACATGCTGACTGAAAACTGAAAAGGAAAACAAAAGCAGTTAACATGTAACCAAAAGTAAACCCATTTCTGAACCCAATCACTGCAAGTCATGGAGGTATTCACCTGCCAGAGTCAAGCACAATTTCCCAGTTCAAACCACCAACATTGACGTCCCAGGAGCGCAGCACGCGGCCATTACCGACCACCAGCACCGCATCTAGGAGACAAAAACAGCTTTGTGAGTTTTGCACTTTTAGTTAAAGAACTAAAAACTCTGTAAGCTCAACTGCAACGACAAAAACAAAATCACCTTGTCCGTGTTGCAGCAGAGCGTCAATGGTTCCCTCTGACCCAGCCTTATCGACATGTCGCCAGACTGTAACACACGTTGAAAAAGTAGTAATAAACAAATAAAATCTGCCAACTGACAGGCGTGTCATCTTTCAGACTCAAAAAATACTCACAAAGTTCTCCGGTCCTGGTATTGAGGGCAGCAAAAACGTTCCTCTCTGTTGCAACGACCACCTTTTTGGATGACTGCACATGTGTGTCGAAATGAGAAAAGCGAACCTTGCCTACATACTGCTGCCTCCTGTGAAACACAAGACAGAAAACAAGACTTCAGAAGGTCATCCAGCTCGCTGATCACTGTGGCTAAACCACAGCTTGGATGGCTACAGGTATCAAGCCCCAGTGTTATGACACACGATTCAAATGAAAGGGCAGACAACATGAATGGACAGTACACTGACTATTATCAGACTGGTTACAATGCTTTACAAATGCTTAGAAACTAGTTTCTATCACATTGACTCATTAAGTTTGTGGGATCATTTGTGTCCTAATGGCAGATTTATACAATATAACCACCCTAACAGCATCCGAGCGAAGAAGACTAAAGAGAAATCAAGATTTTATGAATGAATTTTGATATTTCTGGCCTATTCTCTCACAAAAAAGTCCACCCCCAAACACACCGAGTCGCAGCTAGTTGCTGTGACAGGTGTTAGCATTAGCATGTCCACATTAAAACATGGCCGTAAACCACACACATGTTTGGTCGTTCACTAGATTCCTCTTACCAGTCAAATTTTCCTACTTGATCCTCAAACACAGCCTCGACAGTGGCGCATAAAAGAATACATTTCAGCCACAGCAGAATTAGCTTTGCCATTGCAACAGCAGCTTTGACTTGCTCTTCAGCTGAAGGAGGAAGTCGGAAGCTGATTGACTTCCTTTAAGTCTTGTGAAAAACAAGTGCTGCCCCCTAAAGGCGAAAGGAAGCACAGCGTCAATATTTGTAATGCAGTGCATTAAGGCAGATTAAAAAAAAAACAAAAACAACAACTTTGCGCTGTAGGCAGAAACGCAAATTATGCAATGTAGTTTGCACAGAGACACAGATAGATAAATATACATAGATTTTTTAGTCTGTCCTGTGCTAAACATTTTCTTTTAGGAGATTAAAAATAAAATTCTGAGCTGCATCTTGTCTACCATTTATGTATTGCTATTCAAAATAATAATAAAAAAAATGGAGGAAAATGGAGTGTATTTTTATTTATGTATTGCTTTCCTTGCTTAGTTTCTGATCTTGAAAAAAATCTTGTTGCGATTACAAACACGATGGAGTGAACTTCCAAAAATTAAGAATTTATAGACTGCAAATACAATATTATATTGGATAATTGTTGGTTTAGGAGGCACTGAAACCTATTCTACTAAACACACAGACTCTATTACATGGTAATTATTAATAATAATGATAATAATGATGAGTATCAATTACAAATCTGTGGCCTGTATGCAGTATTTGTATTACTGGTATTACATATAATGTCAACACAGAGGGGGGGAAAAGGCTTAAAATCGGGAAATGGAAAATAATGCTGGGATGACTTATAGTGAAATATTCCTCTTCAGTAAAAAGTAGTATTTTGATTAAATGCCAGCATGAGGACCAATATCAGGTTGTGAACGCCCCCCATGATTTACTTTCACAGTTGCTTCCTCCAGTAGCTAGTTTTTTCTATGGGATTTCAAGATGGCGTCGAGCGGAGGAGATGGGGAGCACGAATGGACAGCGGCAGTGCGGCCGCTTTTATCAGCTTCGTACACCGCTTTTGAAACGAAAGAGCTACCTCAGCTTATTGGGTCTATAATCAACAGGTAACCGGTTACATGTCAATAAACTGCGGGTTTGTATTTGCTCAAATACTGCCCGTTTCCACCCAGGATTAGCTGACTGGCTAACTTGCTAACTTAGCTTGGTTAGTTAACTTCGATGGGAAACGTTACCCACTTGGCTAACGTTAGCGGCTAGCAAGCTACTTAAGCTTAACTTGCACTGGCATCGAGTCCGTTGCTGACGTTAGCTGGTATGCTAACGCTAGCTAACTTACTCAAAATGCTATTTAGCGAGCGCTGCCTGGTAACTTATAAACAGTTTGGAACAAGGCACGACTTATGACTGATGGACGCTGATCTTATATGTGAAGTTACTGCTGTGCAAACGTTTGTTGACGTCGCAGTGTTACGTTTTGGGAATTTGCTTCATCATTAGCTAGCTAACACAAACATTAGCCAGCAAGCTAACCAACCGGGCCTTCCAACCGGAGTGGCTAACGTAACGTTGATATGGCCCGGCCAGACTAATATATGACTACGTCAGCTGACTTAACTTGGTTAAATATGATTCGGCTTGTGGGCTGCACTTGTCATACACAGTCTAGTATGGATATGACAGCAGATAGTTTACATCTAAACCGATCGATAAAGGTAGTCACTCTGTGAAATATTGTCAGCTGTAAGCTTGTGGTTGGGCTGAAAGTAGGCGGGGACCTTATTTCTCGACTCATTCTTGATCAGGTGATGGTGGTTCACTGTGAACGTATTGTCAGTAAAACCGTAACTTGTTTTTGTATAAGAGTGAAGGTGTGATGGGAAATCCGAGATGGATATGCTAAACTGCCAAGAGGCTGAGACGACGAGAACTTGTTATTGGAGACTAGTGTTACAGCCAGGCATGATTATTTTGGTGGCTTGCCAATGATTTTCTCTTGAAAGTCGGTATATATGCTAATTTCGCTTTGTAGCTACCGTTGCATACATCCCCATTGAGAGATTGTCAAGTCAATAGAACCTACACAGAAGCCAAGTTGTCACTTGACACTGGTGTAGGGTGGTGACACAAGCTGATTGCTCTGCGCATTCAAGTGCGAAGCTTCCTGCTGTGTTTATTGGTTTCATTTTCCTGAGAAACAAGCAACCTGTAAAGTGGAGCACTCATGCATTGACTGTTTAATTTTTTCAACCGCTGTTTGACTGTAGTTTCCTTTAAGCTGTTGTTTGTGGTCTTCATAGTCCACAATGTAGTAGAAATGTTAAAGCACATGTTTGTGTTCCTTTTTAGGTGTTTAACATCTGCAAACCTGTTTATCACAGGGCCCCAAGTGTTTATGGAGAGAACATGAAACAATTCAAACCACACCAAAGCTTAAGTTCTTCTCGTATCATCATAAATGGATTTTTTTCATTTTAAGCATTAAACAGCAGGTTGTATATTCCTATGAAGACTGAAAAAGGGGCATATATTGCTGAAGTTTTAAATGGCAAATGCCAGAGTTTGAAAACCTGGAGTGTGACAAAGTTTAGTACATATGTTATGAATGATTTGGGCAGGGTTTATCCACATGGATTTTGGTTTGCTCACTCTTGACTTTACTGGGCTGTACTGCCCACATGCAGAGATTCCACATAGCAGAATGTCCCTATTGCTGCAGCTTTGTTCAGTTTTATTTCATTAATAGATTACACACAGCTGTGGTATTTTGCATAACAAAATTGACACACTTTCAGCCAAATATTTTGAAGGAAGAAAATTCATTCCTGGGAAATACACCAGAAATACGACTTCATTCTCTTAAGCCAGGTTTGATATGTGTATCAAACACTAATAACTCCTCTGATGTTCACTCATTAGCGTACACTGTCAGATGTAAAGCATTTTCTCCTGCAGTTTTGGACATTGTGAACATGAGAATTGGAATATGCTGTAAGAGTACTTTGACTTTTTTTTTCCTTAACAGATTTGTTGATGTTTACTCTGCATGTGTGGTTGTCAGCGTCAGGTGTGCAGAGGCATGTTTCAATGGTATGATTGGGGAACTTGGATTTTCTGCATGATGAATACTATTTGATCAATATATTTTCATTGGGTTCTTATTTAAAGAGGACGTCTCTTCAGATATGTTTGTCTCTTTTATGAAAGAGGCCTGGCTAAAATTGCAGTGTGTAATAGGTATCACATAGTTAGATGAAAACAAGCAAAATGTAGGTCTTTCCATTATTTAAAGCTACTGAAACACAGGAGATGGCAAACAATTCTGGACGATAAACGAATAGGAAGTCCCCTTAGAGAAGGTTTTGAAAAACTACATTGGTTAAGACTTACAGGGCCTAATTTTGAAGGCTAACAACTCCGAGTTCTTTTGGTCTTTTTGTTGTTCTACCTTCTCTGGGTTGACAGTTAATTTAACAAGTGGATTAATTGTTAGTAGGAGCTGTTCATTTCCTTCACCCTGTTCCTGTGCATGTTTTTGTGGTCGAATGAAAAAAAAAGCCATCAAATAACCCAGTCAGCAGTACTTGGGATGTTTTTTTAGGAGCTGTCGGAGTTGGAGAAGATGTTTTTTAATTTTTAGAAAATTTCAAGTGTGTATTTGTTTGTATTGCCGATTGTGGATTCTTGCTACTGTATATTGTCAGGGTGCGTCACTTTGAGCCGGTTCTGTGTTGTCATTCCAGCAGATAAATGTATGTAAAGTAGTCCAGCATGCAAAGGATAGTAAACATCAAGTTCTTGTCTCTGTGAATGACTTGTGCTCTCAGCTAATTTGTGAAACCTAAAAAAATAATAGCTGCCATGTTTGAAAAAGGATGCAGTAGTCACACATAAGGTGTACCTGTCCTATGATAAGCCTCAAGGGCCCCTCATTTTTCACAAACCCTTTGCAGATTTGTAGTTCAAAATGTGGTTTCCCCAGTGTGTTATGTACTGTATGTGAAGTATTTACTGTTTACTACAGTCTAGTACAGCCACGCAGTCAGGATTACTCAGCTGGAACAGGTTTTTGACAGTATATTTCTGCTATAGATTTTATTTAGAAGAGTTGTAGCTACATGCTCTCTTTTCTGAAAAGAAAATTGCAATGAACATGTTTGCGAATGTATTTTTGAAAGCATTTAATGTGATATTCCGCTTGTCATTTGCAGTGAATCAGACATTCTTCACCACGACAAACAGTATGAGCCTTTCTACTCGTCATTCGTGGCACTCTCTGCACATTACATCACCACTGTATGTGGACAAAGTATGTATCTTTTGTTTTCTCTTTACCATAATAGATGAGAAATTCCTATGGACATTCAGTCTAACCGTTTCAATACAAAAGTTAGTGTTTCTTGTGGTCTGAAAAATATCTCTGTTCTGTTTCTGTAGTACCAAGAAATCAGTTGCTGTCGGTTGCTGCAGCGTGCAAAGTATTGATTGAATTCTCATTGCTGCGCCTGGAGAACCCAGATGAAGCATGTGCAGTATCACAGGTGAGTGAAACAAACGTAAGACTGTCGGACTACATTCAGGGGATCATTTCAGTTTGCTCCGATCAGCCACTTGAGCTTGATTTCATTGTGTTCAATTTTGTCTGTGATTACTGACTATTTGTGCTTTTTCAACTGTTTTCTGTTTTAAAGGGAATTATTTTTCTGTATAAACCCATCGCTTAAATTGAGGAATACTGTACATTTATTTTTTTCAGAAACACCTGATTCTTCTAATAAAAGGACTTTGCACTGGCTGCAGCAGACTAGATCGCACAGAAATCATTACTTTCACTGCTATGATGAAGTCTGCCAAGTTGCCTCAAACCGTGAAGACCCTTTCAGATGGTGAGTGTCCCTTAAGAGATGCACTGACGTTAAACAATACTTCACTGATTGTAACACAAAACTCTCGGCAGTTGAATGATCGATTTATCTAACAGGGAAATTCAATGAACCCATTGAAAACATTTCCGACTCACAGCTGTAATGTTGTAATTGTTGAATTGCTCTATTAGTTTCCTGTAATTACTGTTGCAATTGTCAAGTTCTTTTGCGAGTGTTTAGCCATACAAGGGCTGAAAAGTTGACAGAAAAATCCCTTATATCTTCTTGAAAT